GTTAACTAATATATATATAAATATATATATTAAATATATATATACATATAGATATTAATTAAAACGATTTATTCGCGCGCAACGACGCGACAAAATGGGTGTCCTCCCCGGGCAAAATCGACGTTCCGGACGCGTTGGCGCAGTCCGTTTCGTCATCCGGGGTCGCTCGGACGGCGTCGTCGACAATCGGGTCAAAACGCGTTGAAATTCAAATTTCACCAAACATTGACCCGCGATCGATCTTCACAAGTGGTTTACTCGAGCCCTCGGCAAATAACGGTGCAGACAATGCGAATTGTGGAGATCGGACACGTCGACTCTCCGAATTGCGAAGCTGGTGCGCGCAGGAGTGCGAATTGTGCAGAAGGCCACCTCCTTCTAAGTGTTAGAAGTCGATACCGCACACGCGAAACTCCAAAAGAGGACGGAAATAGGTCGAACTAAAACGAGGCGGGCACCACTTCTAAGGTTCTAAGATAGTCGCAGGAAGACCCCTAAGGCTAGATCCTAACTCCTACGAGGAATACTAGACCTCACGAAAATTGAGGTCAACAATTAGATATTAAAGAGGGTGAAAAATATACGTATAAACTAGTCAAACAATAGGAAAAGAAAAGTAAAGATTTAACTCAAATAAAATTTATTAAAGATGAAAATCAAAGTGTTTTTCTTAGAAAAAGATATTCAACATGGGTGGGTGAGTTATTTTGATATACTTTTTAATGAAGTTTCTGAAAATATGATTGATCTTAGTGATCTTAATATCGTTAATAATAATAAAATATTTATTTTTATCGTCGCATTAATAAAAAAAAGTTGAGGAGACTTTAAAGAAAGCCAATGGTGGAAAATCAGTAGTACCTTATTATATCTCAAGTGAAGTGTGGAAATATTTAGGAGATTTGACAGTTTTTTAGCTTACTAAACTCCTTAATATTATTTTAAAAACAAAAAAAAATGTTTGAGCGGGGGAAGAGTATTTTGGTCCCCGTTTTTAAGAATGAAGGGGATGCAGAAGTTTGTACAAATTATAGAGGATTTAAGTTGATGTTCATTCTTTAAAATTATGGGAGAGGACAATTGAACATAGGTTAAGACGTATTACAAAGATTTCTCATAATTAATTTTAATTTATGTCAGGGAGGTCTAATATGAATGCTATATATTTATTTAAAGGTTTGATGGAGAAGTACAGAGAGAAGAAAAATGATCTACATATTATTTGTATTGATTTAGAAAAAGCTTACGATAAGGTTCCAAGAGAAATCCTTTGGAGAGTCTAGAGAAAAAAGGCATTGATATGACTTGCATTCAAGTCATTGAAGATATGTACGCTTAAGCAGTTACTTGTGCTAAAATAGGAGGAGGATTGACTCAATGTTTTCCTATTCCAAGGATTGACTTAATGTTTTCCTATTCCAGTTGGATTCGAACGGAAGCAGGATGGACCAAGTATTTTCTTATTTCAATTTGACATCAGGGATCGGCTTTAAGCTCGTATCTTTTTGTTTTATTTATGGATGCTCTTACTGGAAATTTATAGGAGGATGTACATTGGTGTATGTTTTTCACTGATGATATCCTTCTTGTGGAAAAGACTAGAGAGAGTTTAGGCAAAACTTGAATTATGGAGGTCTACATTAGAGAGTAAAGGCCCTTGTTTGAGTAGAACTAAAATTGAATACATGGAATGTAATTGTAATAATAGTAGTAGCTCTAGTGGCAGAGTTGTGATTATGGGTGATTAAATCATTAAAATGTGTGGACTCTTTAGATATCTTGGGTCTATTGTTCAAACTGATGGTGATATAGATGGGGATGTTGTTAGTAGAATTCAAGCTGGTTGGTTGAAGTGGAGGAATGCATCGGGTCTATTGTGTGATAGAAAAGTACCGCTTAAATTGAAAGGAAAATTTTATAAGATGGCGGTGAGACCTGTAATGCTTTATGGCACATAATGTTGGCCTTTAAAAGAGAAGCATAAAACAAAGTTTAAGTGTTGCGGGGATGAGAATGCTTAGATGGATGAGTGGCTTAAAACTTAGAGACAAAATGCAAAATGAATATCTCTGTGATAGAGTTGGTGTAGCTCAGTGGTGGATAAAATTAGAGAAAGTCGTATTAGATGGTTTGGTCATACTAAATGTCGACCATCTGATGATCCGGCTAGGAGAGTAGATGTTTTAGATTTGACTTTATGTTAAGAAAGACAGAGATACACCTAGAAAGACTTAGGCATATTGTATATAAGATGATCTTAGTTTATTATAATTAAATGAAAATATGACACTCAATAGCACGCAATGGAGAAAAAGAATTCATATGACCCTATTTAGTGGGATAAATGTTTGTTGTTGTTGTACTACATAGCAAGTTTACCACCTCTTGTATTGCTCAAGAAAAAATGAATGAAACTGGGGTTTCTTGAAGCTGCTCTCAAATGGTTGACATTAGGCTACTGATGATGATGAAGGATGATCTAATATGATAGATTTCACTAACATGTATCAAGTTAAAAATGAACATAATGCTTAGATGTTCAATATCTTTTGTTTTCTTTACAGGTTCTTGCTATGTTGTTACATTATGCATAATTCTACTCATTCTCTATATTGTCAGGGGATCCATTGTATGACTTGATTCCAATATACTTGGATGTTTTCCGTGGAGACATGTGCCTTATGGCTAAACTTTTGGAACATTACAATCTTCCTCTCATCACCAGTAAGCTGAATCATGACGAACTTTCTTCGGGACTACCAGAAAATGATAAGTGTAAGAGGCTTTCATACCGTGCCATGTAAGATACAATGCAACCTGGTATTTATTCCAAATGCTCTCCCTCCTGTGTTGAATTAGACACTTGAGTTACAATTTCCAAATATTCCTTGCTTCAGTATAGTTTTCTTAGCTGGATTGTGCGATTCTCTATCATACTTTCACACTGTTGAGAAAACCGTCCATTTCTCTCAGCATTTGTTTTTTTTTTATTATTATTATTTGGTCATTTACATACATACTACCCAATCCCTATTTATTTACATGTCTAACATCTAAACTTAGTTTTTTACATTTATACCACAAAGTTTTTCATATCACTTCCAAAAATAAACTTTTAAAAAGTGAAATACACCTTTTTATGCATAAATATGGTGGTATATATGTAAAAATTGAAGTTTAAGTGTTAGATATGTAAATGCATCAGAATTGAGTGGTATGTATATAAATTTAACTTTTTTTTTTTTTGTCTTTTTTGTTCATTTCTCTGAGCATTTATTCACATTCCTGCTCGTACAGGTGCTACTGCATTTTACATGAGGACAACGTCCTCGGAGCCATTTTTAGTTTGTGGAAGGAACTGAGAACGGCCAAGTCATGGGAAGAAGTGGAAGAGGCCGTGTGGGGAGGGTTGAACAACTACCAACACACCGATCTATGATCTAAACTTTTGGTAAAATATTCATTTCAATTAATTTATGAAAAATATTGGACTCTGTATCAATTTATAGTGCATCCCTCTTCAATTTCCATTCTTTTGTGTAATCTGAATGGCCGAAAATACGTCTAAGAAATTTCCCATTTAAATTCGTAAAAATATATGTTTGAATCCTTGATCTAATAAACCCCTGTAATTCTCATCTTCAACGTCTATGTTAGGAAGCCGTTTTTTCTCATTTTGATTGTTCTTTGATCTGGTTTATTCTGTTTCTGCTTGCTTTTGCTCTCAGCATTTTGTTTCACTTGTTATTTATTCATTCTGATAAAAAAAATGCTTTCAGCATTGTAGTTTTATTGTCATCATCCTCAGTTGAATATCAATAAAAACTGTTAAGGGGGTGTTTTGGCTACATCCAAGATTTATTTAATTAGAATCTTAGTAAATCCGACAAATCTGGATTTTATCAAAGCAGGATGCTTTTTCTGCTTTTAAATCCAGAATTATATTTGGTACACTTATGATTAAATCCAGATAAATCCTTCAGAAATGTTTGACAACAAAAGAGGCGAGAAGGGAAGCCACGAGGTAATGTGTCTTTCCGTTTCATTAAATCTATTAAATCTATCTCTGGGGTCCATTTGGGGCAGCTTATAAGTGCGGGCGGCATTTTCACCGTTTGGTTCGCGCGTTTCCTTGTCGTAACCTGCTTTTGGTTTTTTCACTAACCGCAGGCCGCAAGTCGACCCCGGCGGCCGGCCCGCGGGCCGCATTTCAGGATAAGCAGCTTATCCTGAAACGTACAAGCTGCCCTAAACAGACCCTGAGTCCGATTTGCAGCTTATCCTGAAACGTACAAGCTGCCCCAAACGGACCCTGAGTCCGATTTACTAAGGGAGTGTTCAAATTTTAAATAAGATATATATTAGGATTTATCCTTAATGCTGCCAAATGCAAAAAAATGTGATAAAACAGAAGTTTAATTCTGTCGTCTCTTAAATTTAATTTTTCCTCCCTTTTGAAATAGTTATTGGGTGGATTTAAAGGATTTAAGTGGGAAGAAAACACATCTGTCATGGGTTTATCACTTCTCTTTTCACCAAACACCTTAAAGGGGATTTAATTGGATTTAATTTTAATCCAATCAACTATTTTTTTTTCTGGATTTAATGCATTTGGATTTACATAATTTATTAAATTTTATTTAACTTAAATCCTGGGTGCTGCCAACACCCCCTAAATCCATCAAATAATCGTCAGAACTGAGAAAATTGGGATTTTGCTCTTTTATTTTTTATGTACATAAATCCAGATAAATTCAGATGCCAACATTTTAACAAGATGCTACTAAACGGAAAATTATTACGTCAGTACTACGCACGTAGGAATAAAGTGCGTAGCCAATAAAATCACACCACGACTTCCCGTGTGACAGGAAAAAAAACAGCACAGTAACACGGAGAATATTTCCCCGTGTTATTAATGTATTATTGCATGTTATTCATGTGTTATTGATGTGTTATTATGTTATTATAATACCAAGAATATTCTCAGGACATAATAACACATGAATAATACACAATAACACCTGAATAACACGGGGAATATTCCTAACAGAGAAAAAAACGGCGCAGTAACACGGGGGAATATTCTCTCTCATATTATTCATGTGTTATTGTGTGTTATTTATGTGTAATTGATGTGTTATTGTGTTATTATAACACCAGGAATATTCTCAGGACACAATAACACATGAATAACACACAATAACACATGAATAACATGGGGGGAATATTCCCCGTGTTACTGCGCCGTTTTTTTCTCTATCGCGCAGGATGTCATGCGTAATTTCATTGGCTACGCATGTTACTCTACGTGCGTAGTACTGATGTAATATTTAAACACCCTCTAAATGTATAAATTACTCTACTCCTCTGCCAAAAAAACACATGCAATTCTACCCTTCATCAATTAAGCACCGATATTGTAGAAATTTTCAATAAAACTTATATCTGACTCCGTTTGGCAATGTGGCATTGTGCGTTGCACGTTGTTCTATTATGTTGGTGCCGGCAGAGTACAAGTGATTATTATAGGGTAATTTATCATCTAAAATTTTGTAAGCTTTATAAATATTTGGTTATTAGTAGCATAGACATGGGGACGAAATGTCTCAAATAAATGTCATAGCAAAGCTTATATTATTATGATAGTATAGTGCAACTTAATGATTTATTTATTTTAAATTGAAAGTTGAGAAGCTAAAATCATCCTTTTAAAAAAATGCTTTTTTTAATTAATTCAAGCGGCTGATTTTTTTGTCACGAGACAAATGGACTCCATAAAACTGCTTCTGGTGTTTCGAGAAGGAAGAAGTACGCACTTGGAAGTATTACCAGTCATTGAAACGGTTATGTGAATGATGAATGTGATAACAAAATTATTTCATTTACAAGATTGAATTAAACGCAATAAAGAAGTAATGATATGCATTAGTTAGTTTGAATTGGACAATCAGCCTAAATTAGGGTCCGTTTGGTGCGGTTTTCTCTGCACTGTGTAGCGGGAGGCCGCAGTTTAGGATATTTTGGCACAGCGTTTCACTCGCGGCAGCCGTGAATCTGACCGAAATGCCGGCAGTTGGTGATACCCCGCGGCCCGCGGTACCGCTCTGATTTTTTACTACCTGCCACTCTATTCGATCCCGCCTTCGCATGCCTCTGTTTAACGGAAGACTTCTCTAGTTCTCAATGTCGATTGGAACGAGGATGCCGAGGAGGAGCTTCGGTCTGCCGAGTCTACCTACGTCTCCACTAAGAGGAAAACCCCAGCTTTAATCTCGAGGAGTCCTCATCTCAGCGTCGCCGCCTCCCTGGTTGGGTAAGCGCAGTTTCTCCTTCTGGCTGCGTTGAAAATGACAATCTCATTAGCAAGCTTGATTGGTTCCCTTGCCCGAAGTTGTAATTTCTACTAGCATGAAGTTAGGGTGATCTGAAATCGTCAGATTTACGTACTTCTTATAAATTATTGTAGGAATAGATTGGATGTCCATCATGTATATGAAATTTACTCTTGTTCAAGTACTCTTTTGAAACCGTTATAGGGTTTCCTGCCCTTCTTTGTGCGGCCTGGGAACAAAAGGGGGCCTATGAAGGTTTATGATTTTACATACAATATTGCTCAATGTTGAAAGAAATATCGGGATGTTGTTCCTTGTTTAAACGAATGATGCAGTGTCTATTCAACCATGAATTATAGAAAATAAATTCATTTATATATGATAAAGTTTGATGTGAACTTGCTCTTTATCTCATCGTCATCTTGCAGTATTATTTGAAGATATTTATTCTTTTGTTCTTAGATTGCGCTAATCTTTGTATCCGGAATTGTCGTATGATTCAAAAAGGTTTTCATTGTTGTTGTCTGCTTTTGAGGAATTTATTGCAGGTTTTCATTGTGTGTTATGTATGTAAGCGCTCAAAAAATCTTTTATATGGCCCAATCTCTTGCTATTTGCTTCTTAGTAGGTCGAATATCTTTATTGGATCAATCCTTCAATTGTTTGAGTTGTTGGAATCCCCACTGAACTTTTGGTAGATCTTCAGTGCTTAATCTTTGCACTTTAGTTGCTTAGGAGCTTCATTTTTTAAAATATATGATTAACACACTGCCTTTACGTTAAAGACAATATCATTATTATTTGTAATTTTATTAGTTTTTTTTCTTTTTCATATCACTTTTGATACTCACTGCTAAGTGAGTGGTGTATTCATACTCTTATTATGTTTTGAAATTAATTTCTGCTTCGGAATTATCAAATATGTCGTTGCTATAGTTCTGTTTTAAACAACTTCACTAAACAGGGGCAGAATAGTCATTTTTTCAGAAACAGCCGCCTCACATCTGTTCTCTCACAACTCCAACAAACGAACAGTCAGCTTCCCTGCAGCAGCTTCCTGGGGTAGCGCAGTTGCAGCTGCGCCAAACATAGCCTTATTTGCATTATATTAAAATGGATATATCATCCTCAATATTATTATTATTATTATCTAAGAAAATATATGTAAATTCAAAAATGGTCTGCACAGATCTTGAGCTAACCTGATGATCTAGGTAAGAAAACCAGAATACCCAAAGTATCATATACTAACCCCTTTTAAAGCAAGGGCAGTGTTGTAATTTGCTTTTGATCATCATGTTATCTATAAATAGGAGGGTTCATTCATGTAGAAGGGTTTTTTGATTCCCTTCTCTTGTAAACTTATTTTTCATGGAATAAAATGGGTCTAAGAGCCCTAGAACACCAAGTCCTCTTCTCTCTCTTTCTCTCTCTCCGCTCTTTTCATTGGGTGTGATCTATCAGACAAATTTGGATAAAACAATACAAATTTTTTTTTATATGAGAGAGTAATTTAGTCTTTTGCCCCTCTTAAATATCACTATGCTCTTCATTGTTCTATCTCCTCCCATGTTGGGTGAAAAGGAGACAGTTTGCCCCCCTAAAAAAAAGGTTGGTTCCACCACCGTACAAGTCCCGCTAAAGGATTTTGTGCACTATGGAGATGTTTGGTAGCCGGATTTGAGCAAGGCTTACATGATATTTAATGTAAATTTAATTTAATAAAAAAACTGCACAAATTAAACTTGAAATTGCTAAATCCATTTTTTCCTCATTCTGTTATTTGTTTTAATGTTTACGTGGATTTAACACATTTAGCTTAGCAAGAAAGTTATAGTAGTGAATTTATGTCAAACATCATAAATCTTAGAGGCAGTCAAACACCTCCTATAAAAGATAATTCATAACATGAGACCATTTTAACGTGCCTATTAACAACATTCATGCATGTCAGGCACCTCAAATTGTATAGTGGTAACAAAGTAGACGAACGACAGTATACAAATTGTTAGATTACATACTTATAATTCGTAAATCCTTCAAAACTTTCATGACTTGTGCTGAAATAAACCAATTCCAATTGGATCAAATTGGAGAGCAGTGGTGAGAGGAGAACTGTCAAATCAAATTAATCTCGAAACATACACACATATTTCATCCGAACATTAGGATTTATTTAGGACTTCATAGACTATTAATGTTACACATAAACCAATACATCATCATTGATAATCATCTATAAACTCTCTCTCTCTCTCTCTCTCTCTCTCTCTCCCCCCGCAGCTGCTTTCTTTGCACTAAGAAAAGGAGGTTGCTTGAGA